TAATACTGGTTTAATAGCAGAAGATCATCGTGTGAATAAGAAACATTTTAGTATTGAATATGCAAGTTCTCTTTTTAATAGCAAACAGTTCCAAATCAGAATATGTATGGGTTTCCTTTTGGTCAACTCTTATATTAAGTTTCAATGACAGAAAAGTTTTAATGGGACAACACAAGTGAATAAAGATAACAGGGTTTGACCCTCAACTCTATGTTAGATTTCTGTACTGTTGTTGCTATAAATGTCCTTGTTTTCCAACAGGGTGGCCACCATTTATTAGTAGCTAAGAAATTCCAGTTGCAGTTAATGAAAATAATTTTATATCTTACTTGTTGTTAGGTGCTGCTCAGCTCACTGTATCTGACACAGAGTGGTCTCTCTATTGCTTGCAGTCAGAACAGAACAGAATCCTTATCTCCATGCGAGGATATGAACAAGCAACTCAATCAAAGTCATTTCCTTTTCTAGGGTGCACATATAACAAAAACCACTTCCCCACCACCAGCCACAACTTTCCTGTCTTCATATTTGCCACCTGGGACTTCACTTTAGTGAGCCTCAGCTGGATCTATTTTCTGACCACCTACCCCTTCCCAGTCTGCTTCTCTGCTCCTGGGACCTGCCATGAAAACTGGACTGTGCATTTGAATCCTAATGAAATGTCTGTCACCAAACTCTTGGGAGGTCCCCAAAGACCTGGACACATAGCATACCCTGTGACATAGTCTAGAACATTAGTCAGATAAAATGTATTGTACTATGCTTTGTGTTCATTGTTATTTGATTCCTAAATTGGGGTGGAATAATTTTGTCATTATGGAAAATTGGCTGCCCGTATCTCTTTCCAGCCAATGGGCATGCCTATGCTAAATGAGATGTTTAAGAAACCTAACAGTATTTTACATTATAATCCAGCCACTTGTTATTCAATCCACAAACTAACAAAATGTTTCACCAAGATATAAAACATATAAGATGTCCCAATCATAGTTACAGGATCTAGCTGTCTGGATTTGCATAGTAACTTTAATTAAATATAATCTTCTTTCATCTTTTTTATGCACATAGTAGAAAGTAATTGGAGGGATAAAAAGCAAAACTTTGGTGCAGAAAGGGGGAAACACAATACCCATGTCTTATTAAAGTGAATTTGTCTGCCATGCTACAATACTCCAGGGTCAAAATTACATGTCACACAAGTACTTCAAAAACAAAATCTGAGGGTTATACAGTGCTATCTTGGCATGTGACTAGGATTTAAGCAAATGCATACAATAGTTGAGAACTCAAATTCAAGCAAGGCACTCCTGTGTCTGGACTAAAGACCATATGGTCAGCAGCTGGACTCTAAGATATATTGATACCCAGTACTTTAAGGAGCTTCAGTAGGAGCAGAAAAATGGTTGGCACAAAAGAGAATCAAGACACCACATACTGTGCACCACTGCTATCTCTGCTGCCCTCTATTCTCCTTCTGCCCACAAATGTAATGCGAGTGCTTTCAGAGTTCACTTGTCCAAACAGTCCTAACAAATGTGAGAACTACTTGGATTTGCAGGATTGGGATCTTAATTTGTAAGTAAATATGTAAGACATAGAGGGCAGGGATGGGAAAATTCCTAAGCATACCCATCCTTCAAAACGGTTGATCGATTAAGTTTTGGGTGTAATCATGAAGTTAGTTACACCAGTGTAAATCTGGAATAATTCCACTGAGAAAATTAGCTAACGTGGATTTAATTAAGAAAAAAAATCTGTTCCCTTTTCTGGTTTTCTAACACACAGGTTACAACAGTTTAAGGAGTAATTAGTACATTTTGAATCATATCTGATCAAGTTTGTTGCTTTAATAAAAGTTTGAGATACCAGGGGAATTATAAATACTACATGAGACAGTAGGTTGTCATAGTAATTTCAGAATTCAAGAGGGTTGGCAAGTTCCACAGAACTTGTGTTCACCTTGCCTTGTCTTTTTTCATAGTATGTGCACTTTTCATAGCTGAACCGGAAGTACCTGTCTTTTTTTAATCTGACTCCGGTCCCATTTGGATATAAGTTCCCCACAGGTTTGTAAATGACTAATGTTGTCACTGTAGTATGTGGAGAATCTGAGGAGAGTTAATGAAAGTTGTGCATCTAATGCCCCACATTCTACGCAGATAGATTTAGTCATAAAACTTCAGTTACATACAAGGAAGAAGAGAGTTAAGATCCTAGTGATCCATGTAACGTGTGGATTGCTTACAAATTAATTATACCTGTAATGCATAAATGAAATGGGCACATTTTTAAAATTTTGATACTCAGTTTTTATTCATGTCATTATGTCCTTTAATCATATTTACTATTGTATGGTATATCTACACTTTGTAAAAATCCTTGTACTGTAAATGTATATACTATATGATCATTAGGGAGCGAAAGCACTTAAGTGGACACTTAGTTGCATCTAATGTCTAAAGAATCATATACAAGTTTTCTTTTAATAAAAATAAGCACTTCTTGGTGAAAAGTTTTTAAAAGTGGGGTGAATGGGGGAATTAAGTGGGTTTTAGTTTTACTAAAATCATTATGCCGCTAAAAATTTTTTTAAAAAATTCTATTAACTCCAGTGGTTTCCCCCAACCGCGGTCTAGTTTTTAAAAAAATCACTGTCACAAGCACAAATTAAAGGTCAGCCTTAGTTTGCCCTCATCATCGGTATTTCATATCTCAAACGCATTTTAGTGAGACAAATAAATCCCAACCTCAAATAGGCTTAAACCATGACCATTCACATATTTAAATCTATACAAATGAAATCTGTTTAAGCCTTAGGCATGATTATATACTATAAGTATAGTCCTTGAAAGAGGCCCTATCCGTTTACTTGGCAACATTTCATGAATCAAAACATCATTTGATAAAAGCCAAGATAATCTTGAGGCAGAAAGGAAATAAATAGTAATAAGACTATCTACTTTATGACTAACAGAGGCTTCATGGTTTACCCTCATTTTAAAACATTGCTGTATCTTTCTAAGTATTTTTTCCAAAAAGTAGGTGTTTGACACTCTCTTGCTTACTTGAAATGAGTGATGGTTTTCTTAGGATAAGGAATGCATGCTCAGGTCCTAAGAAAAGCACCTGAGACAAACACAAGAGGTATATGCTCCACTTTTCTTCATAACAAAGACTTTTTTTTTTTGGCTCAATCTTAATCTCATTCCAGTCAATGATGAAACTCCCACTTGATTCAATGGGGGCACGAACAGGCCCTTTACTGTAGCAAAAAGCAAATAATAGTTACGTTAAGGTATGTCCCATGGCAGCCCCTGGTAGAGATCCTCCCAGCCTGGGTCGACAGATTAGGACTCACCAGGGCCGGCTTTAGGGAAAATGGCGTCCTGGGTGAACTTGTATTTTGGTTCCCCTGGCCGCATGGGTGCCCTCCATTTCCCTTGGCCCCCATGGATTCCCCAGGCTCCCCACCCCTCTCCTGTGCCCCTAACCCCTGCATTCTGTCCGCTTCGTCCCAACCCCTGCACTCCCCTCCTGCGTCTCCTAATCCCTGCACTCCCCTTCTGTGCCCACATGGGGAAATTGACCTGGATGCACGGAGCACCTGGCATTGCTGCTCACTCCCCCCCTCCAACGCTGCCCCTCTGTGCGCCCCTAGGGGGCTGTGAGTGGAGGAGCAACGTCAGGGCTCCCTGCATCCAGGTCACTTTCCCCACCTGGGCTGTGACCTGGATGCACGGAGCGCTTGGTGTTGCTCCTCACTTCCCCACTTACAGCCCCCTAGGGGGCACAGAGGAACATTGGGGAGGCAAACAGTATCTGTGCGTCATCACTGTCCCCCCATGTTCCTCCGTCGGGAGGAAGCAGGGAGAAATCTGGGTATCCCCCCCTCCCCCACGCGGCACTCCCCTGCCAGCCAAGAGCAGTTTCTGACACTACATTGGCAGCGCGCATTCTGCGCTGCTGCACAGCGCCCCCCTGACCATGGCACCCTGGGCGGTTGCCTGGGTGGCCCACCCCTAATGCCGGCCTTGGGGCTCGCAGGACTTGCGCTACCACGCTAAAAATAGCCTTGTGGACCACATTTTTAAATTCCAGCTTGGGCTGGAGCTTGGCCTCTGAAGCCCACCCCTTTCCCTAGGCTTCAAAGCCCAAGCTCCAGCCTGAGCTGCAATGTCTACACAGCTATTTTTAGCATGGTACCATGAGCCCCACAAGCACGAGTCTGTTAATCTGGGCGAGGAGGGGGCTCGCTGCTGCCCTTAAGCAGCAAATGAAGTGATAACTGAACTGAACTGTACTGTCCTGGTGGATGCTATAAGCAGCTCAAAGAAAATATTAACAGCTGTATTAATTTGCTACTACACAGATAAATCAAAGCCTTCATTTCCTTTCACTGTGTACTGCACATGTGGTAAAAAGGCTAACTTGCTGCAAAGTTCGTATCTAATACTGATAACTCCAAGTTGTGTAAATTAATCCAAATTTAAATTAGAAGTAAAGTGTTCAGGTGTTTGTACAACAAGTTGACTTCAAAAGTGGCTTGAAGTCAGTTTTGCAACTGCAGGATGATCAATGCGCATCTACAGTCAAAGGATGTATCTGACCAGAACTAAGTCTTATACATCTCCTTGTCTACTGGAACAATGTAAATAAATTAAGACAGAGATAAAAAAAGTGTGGTAATAGTACTGGACCTTTTTTGTCTTGTATATAGCAAGGATGAAGCACAGTATTTGAAAGAGAAGCCACAAGTAAAAATAAAAACACTGAAGGACTCCAGTGAACTGCACTAGAAAAGTTAACATGTATAAGACCTGATCCTTTTCGGAACAAGCAGTTCCATCCATTTCAGTGGGTTTACTCATGAGAGAAAAGACTGTCCATGTGAGTAAGGGTGCCATACTCTGACTCATAGTGCCCTTGTTTCTGGTAGACCATGAGTGCACAATTTCATATAGCTCTTACATCAGAAATTATGTGAAAATATAGGTACTTACACAGTAAAATGGTAAATAAAACACTTCCATCCACTAGGCCTCTCCAGGAAGTTGTAGACATCTCCCTGCATGCTAGTTTTGGTTAAATAAGGGCCATAGAAGCACTTGGTAGTGTAGGTCCTACGGATTTCACTTCCTGTCATAGGTTGGTTGCTGAGCTGGAATGCTGAATCCTTTGTGTCTTGCTCAGAGTTAGGGGGAATTCCTGATCCATTATTCACCATGGTATCTGGAGCTAGAGCCACTGAAGAATATTGCTTATTGTTTAAGTTCCCTGTCACTTCCAACAATCCTGAAGACTTCCTATGACCATTCAGACGACCTAACTGGGAGCTGGAGCTTTGACCCTGACCACAGAGGTTATACATCGAGTGCCCACCAGTTTCCCCATTAACGCAGGACATTCTGTATTGAAGCACAGGTATTGCTAACCCTGATCAATATTTAAAATAATAAAAGAAGGTATTGTATGTCCTTTCTGTCCTGGGTGTTCTCCAATAACTGATAAGATGTCTTTCTGCCGTTATCCTGGAACTCCTCTGTGACACAACAGTGTGAGCCGCCAGCCTGTCACCTGTTGTCACTCAGAGGCTCTGAAATTAAATCAGAGGAACATATTAGACAATGGAGACACAAGAAGTAACTAGACGGTAAGACTTTTGGAGGGGGTAGAAAATTTAGATTCAATGTCATGACAATTAAACAAAAACAGGTTTAAAAGTTACTAAAATAGCACAACACAAGTACCTTACCTTCCTCTTAGGTGATTCTATCAAATCATTTTAGATTCAGTGAATACAGAAGTGTCCTTTACTGCAGATAGAACTGCTACAGCTGCAAATTTATCAGTGCTTCTGTTTTCTGAGGGTCTATACATTGACTATAAGCACACTGTGGGATAAAGCATAGTATACATCGATTTAAAATATGGAGCTTCATTATTATGTTGCATTCTGAAAGACTTGGCTAGGATGTAGAACAATTTTAAGATTGAGAATGAGCAATTTCAGACATGAGAGACCTGATCCTGCAATTGTAACTCCTGATGTGCTCAGTTAGACTTTTGCCCAAAAAACAACAACAACAACAACAACAACAAAAAGCAGGACTCTGACTTTATTATGCTCCTTTAACTCACAATTTTGGTAGATCTCTGTTGTTGCAGTGTGTTAAATGAAAGATCTAGGGCCTGATTCTGTTTTGCTACAACAGCTTTATATTGGTAGTAATGACATTGACCTAAGTGAAGTCCTGCTTGTGGAATAGTGTGGAAAATTTGGCCAATAAAGCTTACCATGTATTTCATCAGGGCCGGCTCTGGCTTTTTTGCCGCCCTAGGCAAAAAAGCCACCTGCCGCCACCCCCACACACACACACCCAGCGCGGCAGGGGAGGGTGCCGAGCCTGGCCACGGGCCCGCAATCCCCGACCGGCCAGAGCACCGGGAGCAGGGCGGAGAGCCCGGCCGGGGCTCTCTGCTCTCCCCGGCGGCCAGAGCACTGGGGGAGGGCAGAGAGCCCCCGGCGGCCAGAGCGCCGGGAGGAGGGCGGAGAGCCCGCCGGGGCTCTCCCCAGCGGCCAGAGCGCTGGGGGGAGGGCGGCGAGCCCGCTGCGTCTCTCCGCTCTCCCCGACAGGCTGGAGCGCCGGAGAGAGGGCAGCAAGCCCGCCGCGGCTCTCCGCTCTCCCCGACCGGCCGGAGCGCCGGGGGGAGGGTGGTGAGTCCAGCCGGGGCCCTGCTCTCCCCGACCGGCTGGAGCGCCGGGGGGAGGGTGGTGAGTCCAGCCGGGGCCCTGCTC